ATATACTTATAGGTATGTGAAAATATATGTATATGTATACATACTGAGCCAGCAATCTGGTGTTGCTCAGGGGGTGCCCTCACAAACCAGCGTTTTGACTGGGCCACCAGGCACTGCCACACTGACGCAAACTTGCCAAATCCTGTCCTGACATGGGCGCCTCGTTGGGTCGCGGTACCAAAATTTGTTCCAAGGGAAACCAACGGACAATTACCCCCCATGTGAGGGCTTACAAACAATGGGCATCCCTCACCCCTGGCCTGCGTCGCGGAGCGCGGGCCCCAGTTCGAGCCTGTCGCGTGCGCTCGAAACGGGTGGGACCCACTCGGTGCCGACTCGACCCCCATGGGCTGAAGATTCTGATTGAGTCTTCAGCCTGTTTTCTGTGCGCAAAACGTGACAACTGCAAACCTTGCTCAAGGAGATGTCGGAAAACCCAAGAGCTTGGATGGTGACACCTTAAAAGCTTGCTGGGGTTGCGATTCCACAAAACTCGCGTTGGACAAAGTTGCAACTCTTTAGTTGATCGGGTGTTTTGTCACCGTCTCACAGCCAAGATGTGCAGTGCTTGCAAGACACGCTGAGGGACGACATCCTTTCTTTTTTCATTCTTAAAAAAGTGTGTTGTTCCCACCTGCCAAAAAGGCCTCCTTCTTCCTTTGCAAATGCATGTCCGACAACGAGTCTAAGGGCAAGGAGGCTAATGGTTCGGAACTATATAGTATTCCCACCAGGCCTGGAAAAGCAAGCACGAAAACCTACCGCATTTTCCGACCCTCCTACAACCGCACAAAAAGACACCTGCCGGCTTGTTGGCAGACCATTCTGTGAGGCCTTGCCATTGAGATCAAAGGTCTCCAGTGAAATGGCCCCATTGGGAGAAGACCTTTGTGCTAGTTGAAACTCAACCCCAACCCTTCGCAGGTGATGTCTTGTGTTTTCCAAGAGCGAAACTTGGTCTCCCCCAACTTTCCCAGAGATCGCGAAAAGACCAACTAGGCGACACACAAAGCGCACCGAGACTGCGTGTTCTTCACGTTGGAGGCATGGCCGAATTGAAAACGAGAGATTTCTTCGCCGCCGCAAAGCCAGCATAACCAACATGTGCTTACTGACCTGGACAATACCGATGAGTGAGAAGAATCCGTCTCTGAATGCGGAATTCAGAAACTGGCCGGTTCAGAGTGTTCCGAACAAGTTTCAGGCAGGAATCCTCGCTGGTTTTGCAATTTGCTCGAGAAGCCACTTTGTTGCCAGATGGGCACAGGCGTCCCTGGCTGCTTCCAATCCGTTCCGGAGCAAACAATAGCTGGATTTGCTCAACATAAAATACATTGTAGTTGCAATGCTCAAATCAGACAGCGACCATTCGGCGTTCCCACAGACTTCCAAAGGCAGAGCTACCAGCTGAACCATTGAAATTGAACCCAAAGAACTTGATCGGACCCGGTTTTGTCGCTCAGAAACCCTAAACCCGGAAGCGTGTTGCAAGGAATTCCTATTGACTTGATCCTCAAAAGGGAAAAAAGGCGCACAAGGCCAAGTCTGTCGGAGTCCAGGCGAGTCCGGAGTCCGGGTGCCGGGCTCAAACAGCCCGCCACGGCCTGAGGTGGGGTTCGGATGACCCGTTTCTCTAGGCTAAGGTATCCAGCTGTTTGCCACATATTCAAAGCCAAGGCTCGCATTCGAATCTCAAATCGCATGGTGCGGAGCGGAAGGCATGGGATTGTGTTCTCCTGCTTGCTTACAGCATGCAGCAGGTGCTTGTCCACACTCGGGTGCCTGCCAAGGAAGACTCTCAAGCGAAACTCGCAAAAACACACCCAGATCGACCCAGATCGACCGAATTCAAACACACACACAGACAGACACACAGACACAAAGACACACAGAGACACAGACACACAGACACACAGACACAGAGACACACAGACACAGAGACACAGAGACACACAGACACAGAAACACACAGACACCCAGACATGCAGAGACGCAGGCACGCAGAGACGCAGACACGCAGAGACGCAGAGACGCAGAGACGCAGAGACGCAGAGACACAGAGACACAGACACACACAGACACACAGACACACAGACACACAGACACACAGACACACAGACACACAGACACACAGACACGCAGACACACAGACACACAGACACACAGACACACAGACACGCAGACACAGAGACACACAGAGACACAGAGACACAGACACACAGAGACACAGAGACACACAGAGACACAGAGACACAGAGACACAGAGACACAGACACAAAGACACACAAACACACAGACACACAGACACACAGAGACGCAGACACGCAGAGACGCAGACACACAGACACACAGATACAGAGACACACAGACACACAGACACACAGACACGCAGAGACGCAGAGACGCAGAGACGCAGAGACGCAGCGACGCAGAGACGCAGAGACACACAGACACACAGACACACAGACACGCAAACACACAGACACACAGACACACAGACACACAGACACACAGAGACACAGAGACACACAGACACACGGACACACGGACACACAGACACACAAACACAAAGACACACAGACACACAGAGACACAGACACACAGAGACACAGACACACAGACACACAGACACACAGACACACAGACACACAGACACAAACACACAAACACACAAACACACACAAACACACACAAACACAGACACACACACACACACACACACACACACACTCACACCCACACACACACACACACACCCACACCCACACCCACACACACACACACAAACACACAAACACACAAACACACAAACACACAAACACACAAACACACAAACACACAAACACACAAACACACAAACACACAAACACAAACACACAAACACACAAACACACAAACACACAAACACACAAACACACAAACACACAAACACACAAACACACAAACACACAAACACACAAACACACAAACACACAAACACCCAAACACCCAAACACCCAAACACCCAAACACCCAAACACCCAAACACCCAAACACCCAAACACACAAACACACGAACACACAGACACACAGACACACAAACACACAGACACACAGACACACAAACACACAAACACACAGACTCACAAACACACAGACACACAGACACACAGACACACAGACACAACCACACACAACACACACAACACACAACACACAAACACACAAACACACAAACACGCAAACACACACAATCACACAAACACACAAACACACAAACACACAAACACACAAACACGCAAACACACACACAGCACACACACACACACACAGCCCACACACAGCCCACACACAGCGCACACACAGCGCACACACAGCGCACACACAGCGCACACACAGCGCACACACACACACACACCAGTCCAGATCCATCCAAGGCATTCAACCTGCAGCGTTTTCTGTGTTTCTCCTCCTTTTTTCGGAAAGGCCACTCCACTCAATGGGTGGCCCTCTTGAACCAGCAGACTGGAGTCAAATTTCGAGTGCCCGGGCTCGTGAAGCTCAGCAAGTCCTGCGAGCTTCGTTGAGGAATCTTTGGTCCGACATCCGACAACCCGAGCAAAATGGTGGCTCGAATTGGATAGAAAACCTAGATGGTGAAAAGTTAGAGCTCAAAGTCAAAGCAGAAAAAGCTTCTGCTGCTGGAGTTGTTGAGAGGAAAACCACAACAAAACCCACAGGACATGTTGAGAACAGGTCCCCTCGAAATGTGCACAAGGGACCCAGCAGCCCCTCAAGCCTTTCTCCGGCACTTCGGTAACCGCTCGGACTGTTTGCCTCAGGACCTCAGGGGATCCGACTAGATTTCTGCACGTTCCCGAAAATTGCCGGCCAAAAGCCCCGGTTCCATGTTCCTGGTCTTCCCACCCTTCGGTTCTGGTTCATGGCTGAGATGGGTCCATGGTTTGCGGAACCCACCTCTTCTTGATCAATCAGGGCACATCAAAGAAGACCCCCAACTAAACAAGGAAACAGCAACCTCTCAGAGACGGAAGCGCACAAAAGGGGCTCATCGGCAATCGGGGAGCCCCAAAATTGCGTGTGTTCCTTTTGGGTTTCCCTTTGAAATCCTTTAAACCAACCTGAAAGTCTCCTTGAAAAAGGCATACACGTTCTTGGGCAACCGTGTCTTCCTCGCGCTTGTTTGGGCTCCGAATTTGGCGTGAAACTCTGGCCTCTCGCCACTTCAGCTATGGCTGTGTTTCAAAATGAGGGAAACCCCTGAACAAGAAGTGAGGTTTCCACCCCAAGAGGAAAAAGATGTGTCTCAACATGCGAGGCTTCTAAGACTGGGTTGGTTTCCTTTGGGTCTCCCTCAGAAACAACATCCAAAAGGAGCGAAACGGTGGTTCCTGTTGGTTTCCCTTTCAACCAACCTGAAAACGGTTGCACGGTAGCCTCAAAACAAACCTTTCTTTGCATGCCTGCACCCTCTCTTGCATCCACCCCTCACCCTGCGGAATCCCAGTCTTTTATCCCGTCCTTCCGCCTCATTGGGAACGGCAGCTTCTCATCCAACAATGAGATGATGTCACAGACACCCTGAGCTGGGAACATGCGAACATGTGTCACGCTCCTTTCATCTGCCAAGCATTGGTTACCCTCTCGTGTTCGCGGCAAATTGTGACACTCGCAGTAAGTTTTTCCTTTGATGGAATGCTTGAACCTAGCCCAGGCACGGCCCCAATTCACTGACAAAATCCAGGCCCTTCTGACATCGCGGACATCTTGTGACTCTAGTGTTTGAGAGCGTAGGCCGGGAACGCATGTCTTAAAGTTCACATGAGTGCATGAGATGATGTGAACGGTGTTATTTGGGACGCGAAGGGCTCGCTCGTTTCGTTGGCAGGCGGCAATGTCCGCCAGACCGCTTCGGTTGGCTTCGCCAGCTTTCCAAGACCGGTTTGGCCGCGACTTGCCAATTTCCCCAAGCCCCAAGCCATCCCAAACCCCCAAAGCCCCTAAACCTCCAGACCTCCAAACCTCCAAACCTCCAAACCCCAAAACCCGCAACACCTTCAAACCTGCAAACCCACCTCCAATCCTCAACCCAGCCCCTCGCCCCAGGACCCGGGTCCCAGAAGCCCGCCTTCTCACAGGCCGCCCGAAACGCTTCCTCCGTCGTGGGCCGCACAGCCAGCAGGTGGTACCAGGGCCTCCCCCACCCGAAGACCGAAGGCCGAAGGGGTGGGCCGCCTTTTTGCCGAACGCCTCGTTTTTGTTTTTTTTTTGCGGCCATGTGCATAGCTGTTAGAGGAGACTTGCGCTTCTTTCGTTTGTTCTTTGTTTTTTTTGGGGGGCGGGGGGGGGGGGACAGGGGGACAGGTGCATGGCGAAGGTAGCGATGGCTCGCAGCTCGCTTGCTGGTTCTGTTCGGGATAAGGTTGCATGTTCCTCCTTGAATGTCAACCCCTGCTGGTCATAACTAGGCCAGCTAACTTACTGAGGGACTCAGGGGGATGAACCTCAATTGACAAGGGCTCAGCCAGCCAGCCAACTGTAGTTGCCAGGTTCCTTGATTTTCCCCTCCCGCCTTCCTAGCGAAACATAAAAGGGTACCTTCATGAGCTGCAAACTATGTTCCTCCCTTCGTTCATCTTGCCCTCCTCAAGACGATGCCCGGCTCCCCATATTTTCCCTCGTGGACACCCCAAAGGAAACTCATCTAGTGGCAACCAAAAGGTGGTGTTTACATGGGCTAAGGGAAACATGAGGGTGCCTTCTTTGCCGGGGGGGGGGAACTTGCTTCAAAGGCCCCCCAAACGGAAAACACGCCTGTTTGATCATTGTGTTCTGTTGGGGGGGGGGCAATAACACACATGTTTGTGCGGAGGGGCTAATTGAGTTCCTTCTGCATTCCTTTCAAGTCCCCTCTTAGGGCCCCCAACCGTGGGATGTAAGCCGGGCAACACTGGTAGAGGAAACCAAAGGACAATGTCCAGCCGAGTGAACCTACCTGGACCTCCTTGTAATTGGGGGGTCCTACCTGCCGAGGGCATTTGCAGGTTTTGGAGGTATGGATGCAGTATGCCACCAATATAATTCACACACGCCTGCCAAATGATAAGTCATACGTAAATCACTCCCGCTCAACGGCGTTTGTGTCTGGCCGATTGAGGGGATCCTGGCCGTTTGCGAGGGTTCACATCCTCAGACACAGCCATGCGAAACATGATCCGTCATGGTCTTGAACCACGCCCTGAGAAGAAGCTCAATCAATGTCAGCAATTCCTTGCCAAACACCACAAAACACACCAATCGAGGGTGTCCCTAAGTGGCTGTGGGTCAAAACCAATGGTACCATTTTGGGGTAGGTGCACCACCCAGTCTATTTTAGTGGGGACTGGGATGTTGACTGGGGGTACGGGCTTTTGACCCGTGGCCAAGTAGCACGCATTTTTTTTCGGCCCTCGCCTCAAAGTGTTGGCCTTCTCCGCCGCGGACACCTGCGCCACCTCCGAGCAGACCAGCGTGAGGCCTTCCAGCACGCCCTCCCCCCGCTTTGTTTCTCCGGTGACTCCGCTTGGTATGGACATGTGGCGATGGTGGTCAAAAAAAGGCAACCCCAAAATGGGTGGCCCTGGCAAATGGAAGCAGGGACTAAAACGCGGTTGTTGTTTTTTCCTGGTGGTTTGGTTTGACCCATACCCATGTATTTGTCGACCTTTTTGGACATATCCACAAAGAGAGCACCCCAAATAAAGGATGATCGTACATATGAACCATTTCGGAAAAAGACAAGACTCCCAACTTCGTATGGCCGTCCGGTCAAAGCCCTCATTGGACGTGCAAGCAATTAACTTGCAGAAGTATGTTTCAACCCTTCAAAACTCTTCTACCTCTGCCGGCGCATATCAGTTGATGAGCTTACATGAATTGATTCAGCTAGGATTAGATCTTCGGGCCAGATTTCATTCGATCGGCACCTTTGTGCATAGCTGAAATAAAGGAAAGCCAGACAAGCGCCGAACCCAGTCGGCCGCTCTCTTACCGCTCAATCGCTCACCCGGTACCGCGCGTCGGAGCTGCAAGAGAGCCGGAGACTTCTCCAGGCCTCGGACCCAACTAAAAAGCGGGCAAACACCAAAGACAACAGGGATCCTTGCATTATACACCTGAACATTGCCTTGTAAATGGTGGTTTCCCTTTATTTTGGTGGGAAAAGCCGTGTTTCAAATGGGCAAAATGTATCTTTTAAGGAGCCCTGGACAAACGCCAAGGCAACGGCCAGTTCAGAGAAGGCACACAAACCAGGAAGACGACCGCCTGCATCTGAGGCCAACGCCCAGCTCCATCGCCACGGAGCTCCAAAGAGGGCCTCGCCTAAAGAAGTTGTTTTCGGCCACAAGACCCGCAGCGACGGGCCACGGGGACAAAAGCAAGTGGATTTTTGTTGAGCAAAACCGGTGGGGGGTTGCTTCAACTGTTGGGTTTTTGCTGTTCAAACAATTCCGTTGGGTTGGAGTTAAAGATCAATGAAACGGATGATGGTCACTTGCCCCCTTGACGCACCAAGGGTTGGGACGCACTCTTGAGGCGGATGGGACAGAAACCCCCGCGTACATTGCACGAGAGCTCCCGTGGGTTGGGGGTTTGGGGAGGTTCCTGTTTTTGAGTACAGTAGTCAAACCCCTCCTCCAGACAGATCCGTCAGGCTCCTTTCTTTGGGAGGATTGCAATTTCTCCCATGGTGATGGGTGTGTCTTCGTGTGTGTGTCTGGCAAAATTGGTGGGCTTGATCCAGCGTTCATCAAGACATAAAAATATCGAGATGCTGTAGGCTATAGCCACTATACACCGTTATTTGACAACAGCGTGGAAATAAGTCACCCAACGTGTGCCGACCAACCCAACAAACAACAACCAACATATAGGTGGGACGCAGCACTCAAAAGAATGTAAGCTCATGAACCACGCATCCTTGCTCCAAGACAAATCCCGGTATGGGGAGGGCCAAAACAGTTCCTTAACGAGATCCATCAATGGGAGGAGCGTGCATTAATCTGCCTATTCTGAGAGGCACCCGGGGTTAAAACAAGCTCACCATGGTCCTGTGCTTGGGATCCAGTTTTGGAATTGAAGGCTCTTGGCATTGTAAAGTTCCATTTTGAGAGCCATGTCCGGCTTTGGAAATCGGAAGATTGACTCAGAAGTCCAGATTGGGTCCTGCACCGCGATGGCGAGGTGTCTGGAGGCGCCACGACGGGGCACCTCGGAGTTCGCCCGCTGTTTCGGAGGCAACCGACCAGGGAAGAAATGGGGTCTGATGTGTTCGTCCTCAACTTCATCCTGCTGGATGGGGTTGTTCTTGGCATTCTAAGATCATGGAACATGTCGCTGACATCAGCAAATCCACGTCTCGAACATTGAGGTGCCCCTCAGTGGAAAACGCTCTTTGGCCTGGGTCTACAACCCTTTTCATGGGCCTCAAAACCCGTCGCACGAAAATGTCAAAATCCAAGCACGGCCAACCACCAACTGCTTTCCCCTCTTGCACCCTCCCCAAATTCCCCTGCCCCATAGCATTTTGCCTGCTGCATCTGGCTGGGTCCCGTAACGTGAAACATCTTGGGGCTTCTCGAAGCTACTCTTCGGGGTAATTTTGAAAATGTCACTTCGCATTGATCGAGTTCTCTCACGCGCGCACCTTTTCTTTCGAATTCCCTCATGCCAGAAGCTTCGCCAGCTCGGCGAAGCTCGGAAGCTGCAAAGGGTCTGCGGCTCCGCAGCGCGCGCGCAGCTCCTACCGTGGCCATGCGAGCTTTGCCGAGCGTTTGGGACCCCAAACGAAATGGAAGCAGCTCATGGAACCTGGAAGCAGCGCCCAAGTTTAAGACATACCTGTCCGGTTAAACTGGTTGAACAGCAAGGTGGTCACACAAAAAACAAAAAACTGGTGGCGCTGGCAACAAAGACTGCATGATGGCGCGGGGGCACACGGTTAACAGGACAGCGCGAAGGCACAGGTAGGGGATCCGATCTGCTCATTCCATCATAGACCTTACAGCCAAGGATTGCAAGGTACTGTTCTGAAACTTTTCGCCTTTCGCATAAATCCCCTGCAATTGCCACACCACCCACCACCTCTTCACTGTCATGAAGCATTGAAAGGCCGCAGAAGCGCCACGACGCTTTTTGGCGCATGTTCCGACTACGAACATTTGTCCTGTAAAATACAATTGCAATCCCGCAGGAGAGGAACATGTTGGTCATAAGTGGGGTCAGCTTGATCTCTGTGTGCGGTCGTGTTTCCCAGATCTTTATCATCTCTTGGTACGGGGGACGCAGTGTAGATGCTCATGCCAAACACTGCCTGGCTAGCGCAAACTTTTGTGCGTTCCTACCTTGATCCCTGCCAGATCGCCCATGGCCATAGACATCTGGAAGAAACAAAAAACAAGACCCACCAGAACAGACACGCCTAGAATTCCACCACGGAGTGTAGGTCGGTTCGGGGTTCCCAGGAAAGCCAAAAAGCAAACCAACAAAGCCAACAAAAACACAAAGCTTCCCAAGCTAAAATTGGAGGTCTAGATGCGTAGGATGCAGAAGTCAATATGAGTTGTTGGCCTGTTGATCCTTCAAAATCTTGCGGCACTTGGTAAGATGAATGATGTGCTGCGTCATGTGTATTGGCAGAGTTGGATGTTCTGGACCGCTAGTGGCAAACAAGCTGGCTTGTCACCGATCTACCACGCAACTAACAACCATACTGCATAACTGCCAGCTACCTCCACCCCCTGCCCCATCCCGCCGGCACCTCACCCCTCCACAGCCATGCGAAAATTCAGCTGCTCCTCCCCCCTTCCTCCCCCCCCTTCCTCCCCCCCCTTCCTCCCCCCCCTTCCTCCCCCCCCTTCCTCCCGCCCCTTCCTCCCCCCCCTTCCTCCCCCCCTTCCTCCCCCCTTCCTCCCCCCTTCCTCCCCTTCCTCCCCCCCCTTCCTCCCCCCCCTTCCTCCCCCCCTTCCTCCCCCCTTCCTCCCCCTTCCTCCCCCCCTTTCCTCCCCCCCCTTCCTCCCCACCCTTCCCTTCCTCCCCCCCCTTCCTCCCCCCCTTCCTCCCCCCCCTTCCTCCCCCCCCTTCCTCCCCCTCCTTCCCGCACTCCTCCCCTCCCCCGCCCCGCCTTCAAAAGCTCCATCTCGGCGCCCTCTCCCCCGCTCTCCACTAGGTCTTGCAGCAGCCAGCCGAAGGCTCGGACCTCCAGCCTGCGCGAAAAGCCACGCCTCATGAGGCGGAAGGGTTGGTTGAGTGGAGAAAAATGCGAAGTGGATGTGTTGCCAGGGGAGCCGTAAGAGGATGGAAATGAAGTGGGTGGAAATGTGAAGTGGATGTCAAGTAGATGGAAATGAAGTGGATGGACAAATTTGTTTGGATGGCGTTTAAGTGTACGGAAATGTATTTGGATGGAATTTGTAAGTGGATCCAAACTATGTGGATCGAAACTATGTGGATTGAAACTAAGTCAATGGCTTTTTGAGTAGATGGAATGTAAGTGGGATGGAAAGTTGATGGAATAAGTTTGAGTGGATAGAGCTAAAGTGCGTTTGCACAGTGGAAATGCAAGTCTTTGTGGGCATTTGGGAAAAACACTGGACAATTGTCAAGGTTCACGGCCATTTAGGGGTCATCGTCAAATGGATGCAGCCAAAACACCTGGAAAAATGGGCACCAATAAACAAAAGGTGGTGCGAAAGGTCATATTAGCTCGCTATATCTGGCGAGCTGGTTGGCTTTGCATAGTATGTGCCAAGATACCTCCGCCACCTGCTACTGCTATGGGCAAATGGGCTTTCACTCAAGCTCTTCACATTTGCTTCTCAGCACCCAAATTACATATGAAACCTAGCATAGCCAGCGGCAAACAAAATTGAAATGGTGGTGCTGCGGTTGCGTCTTTTGGCAGTTCTTACACTTGCTTGCATGACCCCCCACCTCCCCCCCCTGCACATTGCCAAAGGAATAACATTACTAGGCTTCTTGACCACGTGCAAACTCGGGCAGTCGCCCAACCGCAAGTTTCTGATAGCGCCATCTTGAGTCGAGAATCCCTGCGTCAGCCCGGTAAAGAGCGGGTCAACAAAGGCACGTCTCTACGATCTTCGCTGGCGTTTAAAGGCAATGGTGGTCGCCAGACACATCCGGAGAAATGACAAAGGGTTGTTCAACTTCACATTGGTATGGGTCAAATTTCAGCCACCAGGGGACCGCAGGTTTTAGCTCTCGTTTCCATTTACCAGGGCAACCCATTTTGGGTTGCCCTTTTTGGACCCACACCCATATGAGTGTGACAGGAGAACTGGCATGGCCTGCAAACAACTGACTAGTTACTTTTGTAGAACTCCGACGCTCAGATGCTTCCGGCACCAACCAGAAGAAGAATGTCCACCTTTGGCAACACCCAGCGTTCAGCTTAAACATCCCCAAACGCTCCCAAACGGCGCAAAGGCAGCGTCCAAATGGGTGTGTCTCAAAATAGCAGCACCCAAACATGGATGTTGGTGTTCCTTTGTTTGGTTTCCCGTTGAACTAAACTGCTAAACGTTACTCTCCCATGCTCATGACTAAATGTGTTTTCTGAAGTACCCCACAACCCCGTCCTAATTATTCAGGCCCATGGAAAAACCACAAACCCTCACAAAGACACCCAAACACTCACAAACCCTCATACCAACAGGACCCTTTAAGTTTTGGTTGAACAACCCTTGTATAACTTATAAGTACCCACAACACCACAACCCCACAGCCCTCATATCACCCTCAAAAAAAAGGGGCCACACCCGTCGACCCATCCTCCGCAGCTGCTCCGAGTCCACCGCCGCCGCCGCCCCGAAGTCGGAGAGCCGGCAATCGGCCACCTCCGTGCCGCCGTCGCCGGCGCCGGGCGTGCAGATCACCAGGGTGTTGTGCAGGTAGATGTCCTCGGGTCAAACGAACTGTCAGCACTCGGCTTCTCAAAAGACGCCGCCAAAAGCCCGCGGTGCCGCGCCCCGCCCCCTGCGAACGTCGGGCCCTTCCCCCCCTCCCCCACCAGAAGGAATGGTTGGTTTCTTTCTGTCCCACGAAACACCAACCAAAAGGAGTGTCCTCACGTAGTCTCCCAAACGGGTGCGTCTTTCAATGGGGGATTTCTTGGTGGACATCATTGGAATTCATAGCCAAATGGGAACCGAAAGCACGAGTTCTCTGAGTGTCGCTTTTGGAAGGCTTGCCCGGCTTGCCCCCTTTTGTTGGATTGCTCCCATTAGGTGGGCTCGCAGGGAAGCCGAAAGGAAACATGCCATAAACTCAAGATTGCCGCAAGGAACCAAACCACACACTTCTTAGGAACAGAATCTCCTGTTGGACCCCTTGTAAGTTCCTCGTTTCAATCTGCACGGGCTGGCCAGCTTCCTGCGAGCCGTGACGGCTCGTCAAGAAAAGCGGGGAACAACAAATCCGACTGATCGGAGCCCCCGAGAGGTCCCCATATGGTAAGTGACAAAGGGCGCGTTCCTTTGACGTCGCAAAACATGGCGGGGTGTGGTAAAAAAACGTTTCCCAGAATGCGTTCATCGAAAAACCGATGGTGTGCATATCCAGGAACCCCGGACTCAAACCCGGAGAGCACGTGGCGTCTGACCCTACAACGTACCACCAAGTTTCCGCCCAAATATCTGCTACCAAGTTGAAGCATTGCTGTGAGCAAACAACACGAACAAGCCTGCCCCACAAACATCTGCCCAACAAAACAAAACACCCAGAAACCCAGCCCGGCTTTGACTGCCCAAAAACGGTTTGTTGGGAATACTCTGGTTCAAAGGTCTAGACAAACGATGCCCTGCACCAGAAAGGCGCGGAAAGGCCACCCTTGCCTGGTAAAAGCACCCAAGTCTCCAGACCCCCTCCCCCATGTCATTTCCGTGTTTAACACACCAAGCCCTGCAAAAACCATCTTTAAAAGAATGGAACCAAAGGGAACCAAAACATGGACGTCTCTCCAAAAAATGCGGCCCGGCTGCACCGTGCATCAGCCCCTTGCCGTGGAGATACTCCGCCGCCTGCGCCACCCGCCCCGCGATGCGCTTGGCCGCGCCGGGCGTCCAGCGCGGGTCCCCTGCCACCGGCGCCGCGTCCCGCGTCACCGACGCGAAGCTCGGGGGCCTTCCCAGGCCGAAACCAGAACGGGCCGCATCCCGAGGTATGGCAGGACCAGCGAAAAACCGCAAAACCACGGTTTAAAAAATAGGAAATACAAGAAGCTCAACCGCAAAATCGCCCAAAAGCCTACGCATCCAAATTGAGGGCTGTGCAAGAAGCCCAACTGATTGGGCACAATGCAGCAGAGCCCCACTCTGTTCTAACAAGCACTGGGAACGGGGAGACATGATGCGAGGCGCGCCTCCCCCACAGCTCATGCTCTTGCTATGACAAGAAGGCATCTCATCTGCTCCAACATTGCCCAGTCAGGGGAATCCTCATCGTGTCTTGGTGGCTGTTGACCCCCCTGCAAAAACGTTTAACTTTTGGGGGTTTGTGGAAAACACATTTATTTCCCAAAAAGTTAAAGTCTTAAGATCCAACCCAATAGCAGTCAAGGTGTTTGGGCTCCGCTTGAGGGTCCGGTGCTCAAGTCAGAGGAATCCTCGGGGCCGCGTGGCTTCGGAACGGAACGCGCCTCCCGGCGGCCTTGGCCTCGGGCAGCAGCTCCAGGACCATGCCGCGGGGCTCCTCGAAGGTCCCCAGCACCGCCACCAGCGCCTGCCAATGGGGCCAAGCAAGCGATGGGGATGGGAAAAAATGGTAAAAAGGGGGGGCCCGGGGGGTGGCCTGTTGATGGTTGCCTGTTCTGGTTTTTACGTTAATCTCAAATCTGTGCTCCCCCTTATTCGTTTTGATAAGGGTGCTTTTGGGGAGATTATTTATCGTTTTCGTTAAGGTAATCATTTGGGTAATTGCCCCCCTTGTTCATTGTTGGACTGAGAACCGACATTTTTTTCATTTGAAAGAGGTAGCCCTTTTAGTAGTTATCAAGATCTGGGGTGTTGGTGGTGCTTTTGTTTTGTTAGTATTTTCTCACTAATTTTCATTTATAGGTTAAAAGTTCAGTATAATTATAACATATAAGATTTTACATGTTATTATTACATTATGATTATAATTTCAGTTCAGGATAATAATTTAATTGACAAATCTCACTTGCTTCATACATCATTTTAAAAATAATATTAACATCTCTCACTGTATTTTTAACATTAAACTGTTTAATTTCAAAAATATAAAATTTGATATATTCTTTAATATCTTCTCCTTTCTTTTGACTATAACACAACATCCATAATATATCATCAATCATTCCATATTTTCTTGCTGATTTTAAGAAACTGTTTAACATATTCGTAAGGTGGTAATTTATTTACAGTTAGAAATATTAAAATATCATCTTCTACATGTCTATTGTGTGTTCTTTTTATTCCCAACACACATTTGATTAAAAATTGATTATCTCTCCAATTTTACAATTTTCACATTCGTCTTCTTCACCATCCATTGAATAGTTAATAATATTATTCACTATTTCATTAGGTAAATTCAATTTATACAATTCCATATTTCTTTTTTTAAATGACAACAATCATGGCATTTTTTATTGGTATAATTATTGATTCCATCACCGTTCATTTCCTCTTCATATATAAGGTAATATTTCTTTAAGTAGTTTTGGCTAGGGGTTGCTGATCGGCTGGTCTGGGTTTCAGGTTTAATTTAAATGTCTTAACCTTGTTGTTAGATTATAAAAACTTACTTTAATCATATTAGAATTGAATAATATCATTAAACTAAATCACTCACGCTTTCCATTCACCTATTCCGTCCCACCAGAATTCAATAATTCGCATCTGTCCATCTACTAGACTGTCTTCTTTGTTTAGTTTCCGTATCGCTCCTGATAAGATATAGTGGTTAATAATCATTGCATTAAACTTTCCATCTCGGTTTAACTTTTTACCACAGTCTTTTATTATGTCTTCATCTGTTAGGTTTTCATACATTTCTTTCATGATGTCAAACCTAACAAATGAGTATATTGCCATCAAGTTTAATCCGCTATTATCCCTAAACCTGTTAATGACATCTTTCCAGAATTCTTCGTTTTCATCAACTGGTGGCAAAGGGTGTCTTTTGATGAAATCCTTTATTTTGTTTAACTCTTCTTCTAATTCCTTTCTATAAACTGTCATTATCATCATCTTCTTCGTCTGATAGCGTCAAGTTTGATAAGTCAGCAATCACTCCGACATTTTCTAAATTCAAGTCCTCTAATCTTATTTCAGTCATATTTTCACTTAATATAATAAGTTAATATTTCTTTAAGTAGTTTTTTATTTTATGTTAAGGGGCGGGGTTTATGTTGATAAAATTATTTCTAACAATTTAATATAATGGCGAGATTCACACAAGATCAAGTAATCAGCAACATCTATTACGACTTAGACGAGGGTTTCGGAAGCACACAAGCGACACACAAGAAGGCAAAGGAAGAAGACCCAACAATAACATTAGACGATGTAAAGTCTTTCTTAAAGAAACAACCAAATAAACAAATCAAAATTATAGAGGTACTAATTCCTATACCGCTCCATTCGCACGATTTGAATATCAAATAGACATAATGCATATGTCACCTTTAGCAAAAGACAAGAACGTTCCACAGTATGCTTTAGTCGTGATTGACATCTTCAGTAAATTAGCTGATGTAATACCGATGGAGGAAAGAGACGGAGAGCACGTTTTGAAGGCGTTGAGAGCAAGCTTTAAAAAGATGGGTTATCCGATGTCCGTGTATTCTGATGACGATGGCGCGTTTGCAACTAAAAATCAAGTTCAGGATTTCTTCAACAGTGAAGGAATAAACCACATCGTCACGAAGACCCACGCAAATGTAGCCGAGCGTTTTATTAGAACGATGAAAAACAAAATTCACGATAGAGTTAGGTTTAACAACATGAAATGGACCGACGCCCTAACGCCAGCATTGAAACAGTATAACAGCACATCTCACTCATCAACAAGGATGGCACCGTCTGAAGCACACAAGGACGACAATGAAATAAATGTAAAGGTCAATCTTAAACTACGAGAAAAAAACAAAAGAAAGTATCCCAAAATAGAGGAGAACGACAAGGTAAAAGTGTTCCAAAAGAAAAGGGGTAATTACACCGACAGAAAGGAGTATAACTCTAAATGGTCTAATAAAATATTCAATATTGATAAAATTGAATATGATATTATGGGTAATAAAACTTACAAAGTAGCAGGAATGAACAAACCGCTTTTGAGACACGAATTTTTGTTAGTTAATGATTAAACGTATTTCTTGGTGTCTTCTTTATACTTGACTTGATAGTAATCCAGACTTGATTGTTTAGGTTCTTTTATGACTTGAGGAGCGGGTGAACGAAAGCTAGCAGTTGCTGCATGAGATGGGTCGGTGACAGAGTGGATTCATAGGTAGCTTGTGTACAACGAGAGGCCCGGCAAGATTCGTAGGATGCGACACGCAAACTCACATGGTGGCGTGGCAACCTTGAAAAATGAAAACAACGAGAGGCGTCAGAAGCTGTCTTAAAGCACCTCTGGGTTCTGCATGCTGCGTGTGCAAAGATTCTTGCGAGATGGTTTACTGAAGCACCAAATCCAAAACGGGCAAACCGAGACTGCTGAAACACTGAGCCACTGCCCGGGGGGAGGGGTGGACCAAGGAGGAATCGAGCCTGAGACCGGGGGGGGGGGGAGGGGGGGTAAGATGGACACTTGAGGTCTATTTGGAAAAGGAGGCTCCTTTCAAAAGTCAATCCTTAGAAAGGGAAGTTCGCCAAATAGACGCTCAAGGTTTTGCAAGCTGGGGCCGAGCTCGCCGAATAGACACTCAAGGTTTTCCAAGGTCCGTCCAAACCATCCGAATCCGAGCTGTCCGACCAGTCCGATCCGCCCAAGCTGTCCGACCCGAGGCGTCCGTGTCCGAGCCGTCCGAGCTGTCCGACCAGTCCGATCCGTCCGAATCGGACCTGAGTCCGAGCTGTCCGATCCGAGGCGTCCGCGCGCGCTGTCCGACCAGTCCGCGCCGTCCGCGCTGTGCGTCCGTCCGAGCCTAAGCTCCAGGAAACATACACCGACGTGACCAGTCCGATCCGTCCGCGCCGTCCGACAGGGAAGCTCAAATTGACGCTCAAACAAAGTCCGAGGCGTCCGAGTTTGAGCTGCGACCAGTCCGTACTGATGCCCGGTCCGTCCAGTCCGAGCCGTCCGAGCTGTCCGAGCTGTCCGAGCTGTCCGAGCAGTCCAAGCTGTCCGAGCGGGCCTCTCCAGCGTGCTGATTTCTGCCCGAGGCACAGTAAAAAAACTGAACAACGGACCCCGCTCATTTGCCCTCACCGGTGAGGGCAAATGAGCGGGCCTCTGCGGGAACTGATTTCTGCCCAAGGCACGGTAACAACTGAACCAACGGACCCCGCTCATTTGCCCTCACCGGCGAGGTCAAATGAGCGGGCCTCTCCGAGGTGCTGATTTCTGCCCGTGGCACGGTAAAAAACTCAACAAAGACCCCGGGCCTCTGCGAACTAATTTCTGCCCAAGGCACGGTGAAACTGAACAAACAGACCCCTCTCATTTGCCCTCACGGGTGAGAGCAAAATGAGCGGGTCTCTCCGGCGTGCTTGACTTCTGCCCGAGGCACTGCAAAAAGATAACAACAGACCCCGCTCATTTGCCCTCACCGTTGAGAGCAAATGAGCAGGCCTCTCCGGTGTGCTACTTTCTGCCCGTGGCACGGTAAAAACTCACCAAACGGACCCCGCTCGTTTGCCGTCACCATTGAAGGCAAATGAGCGGACCTCTTCGGAGAACTTATTTCTGCTCAAGGCACGGTAAGAAAAGCAACAAGCGGACCCCGCTCATTTGCCCTCGCCGGTGAGCGCAAATGAGCGGGCCTCTCCAATGTGCTGATTTCTGGCCGTGGCACGGTAAAAACTCACCAAACGCACCCCGCTCGTTTGCCGTCACCATTGAGGGCAAATGAGCGGACCTCTCCGGAGAACACATTTCTGCTCGAGCTACGGTAAAAAAAGCAACAAACGGACCTCACTCATTTGCCCTCACCCCAAATGGGTCTCTCCGAGGTGCCGATTTCTGCCCGTGGCACAGTAAAAAAACTAAACAAGCGGACCCCGCTCATTTGCCCTCACCAATGAAAGCAAATGAGCGGACCTCTCCGGAGAGCTGAGCGCGGAGAACTTATTTCTGCCCGAGGCACGGCAAAAACTGAACAAACGGACCCCGCTCATTTGCCCTCATCGGTGACGGCAAATATAAGCGCGCCTCTCCGGGGTGCGGATTTCTGCACGAGGCACCATAAAATACTCAACAAACAGACCCCACTCATTTGCCCTCACCGGTGAGGGCAAATGAGCGGCCTCTCCGGGGAGCTGATTTACAAAACGGACCCCGCTCATTTGCCCTCATCGGTGACGGCAAATATAAGCGCGCCTCTCCGGCGTGCTGATTTCTGCCCGTGGTGATCAAAACTGACCAAACAAACCCCGCTCATTTGCCCTCACCGGTGAGGGCAAATGAGCGGCTCTGCCCGTGGTACGGTCAAAACTGACCAAACGGACCCCGCTCATTTGCCATCGCCCTTAAGAAAAAATGAACGGGCCTCTCCGGAGAGCTGATTTCTGTCCAAGGCACAGCAAAAACTGAAG